AAAACATTGTTTCAACCCTAAAATCACGTAGAGTCCAGTTGTAAAAATTTAAATTTATTTTAACTGCAGTATAAGTACTGTATTTTTTAATCATTTTTTCTCTATCTACAATCATAAATCACCTGTAGTGGGCAGAGCACGAAGGATGAGGGAAATTGCGGGGTAAAACACAGAGAAAACTGATCATATGACACTAAAATGACGTCTCTACGTGCTTTGTATGTGAATAAATTAATTATTTACCATAAATACTCCTCCAAAAAATCTGCCTTCATTGGTATCAGACATCAAAATAAGTACTTTTTGTTTAGTATGGCAGGGGGTACAAGGGCAAAGCCCTCCTGGCTAGGAAGTTAGGTAAGGTTAGGTACCATAGGTTTCTATGGTTGGTTAGGATAGGTTCCATTAGGTTCTAGTATATGTAGCCTCTTTTAAAATACCTACTACTGCATAATGATAAGAACATCTGTACAAAATTAACAAAATCATACAACTCCATCTGGTTGTACAGGAAGTGCTGTTCTCAGACATTACCCACTTTTCTTCTGACATTTTCCTTGCAAACGAGTTATATATGCTGGGGGGTTCAGGGGGCAGAGCCCCCAATTAGATCACTTGCAAGGGAAATGCCAAAGAAGAGAAGTGTTGTAGATTTTTCTGAACTATTGATTCCAAAGATAAAATTCTCCAGATTCGGTTGGTGGCAATGTATACAAATTTATGTCACTTTGTAGTTTCGACCAACCACAGCTCTTTAAGTTAAGCACTTGTAGTTTTGGCCAATGTGTTACAAAGTGGTTATTTCTAAATTAAACCTAACCAAACCTTAGTTGATAAGAAAAACAAGCAGCAGAAGCATTGTTAGGAGACTTCACCAAGTAAACCAAAGAAACCTACCCAACCTTACCTAAATTCCTAGCCATGAGGCTCCACCCTCCGGACCTCCCCCCCCCCGCCGGCATATTAAACAGAAACAACTTACAAGGATATTATGTGATTTTACGTATTTTTATGGATGCAAGAGTAACTGCCTGGTCCATGTGGCTCATAAGCACACACTGGCATCGATCGGATTTGATTGTCTGTGTATTGCTGCATCACTGCCGAGAAAGACAAAGTAGTGCGTGCCTAGTGCCTAATTATCTACCAAAGGAAGCAAATTCCCCCCAAAATGGGTTAAATTATTGTTTTGGTCATGCACCTATTTTGAAGTAGTTCAGAATTGCTCAAAACACATCAAAAACAATCAGAAAAACATAAGGTTATTATTTGGTTTAGCACATCTTCAAATAGCATAGAAGCACTTACTTTTAGGCAATTTCTACCTCATATATACATTCCACAACTCTTGAAGCCTCTTGGAAAAGTGTTTCTTTCAGAAAAATCGCACAAGTGAGGCACGCCTAAGAATTTAATCAATAAATCTCCACCAGCCATTTCTTGTCCCACCGCAAACTGTCTGAAGCCGTGAGGCATGTCAAACTGTCCACAGAGGTTAGGGCTCCCTCCTCAGGGGTTAGGTGAGGTTAGGTTATGTTAAGGTAAGTTAATTTTGTGAAAGTTAGGGGTCTAGATGTTTGGTTTCTGATGTACTTATTTGGATGTATTTTGTTCAAATCTCACCTTCGTTTTTGATGGAAAATAGCTGTTTATGATCGAGGATAACGTGCATCTTCTTTTTTTTCAAACGACGCATTTCCCATGGAAACGAAGGTCAGATCTGAATACAACACAGCAAAATAGTACATCAGAATCAAACACCTCGTGAAAAAATTCGAGGGTGTGCTAAAACAAATATAATTACAAAACATAATTTCAACTCGACCTAACCTAACCTAAACTTAAAATCCTAAAATTTTCTGCATGACTGAACAGATTATAACAAAAAATGATTATTATATCAGAACTGGCAGTGGAAGATATAGTAAGAATATAAAACATGGTTAATACTCGTCCAATGGATGTCCGCAGGTTCCCGTCATGTTTACCTCAAGTTATACTCCTCACTTAAAGTTAGTTGTCTCCTCCCTTACTTTTTTGCAAAAAATGCTAATTTGCACAAGAAATGAAGGTCAGATTTTAGTAAAATACACTGAAAAACGTAAAAAAAAAAAACCCATTCTCGTACCAAAGCTTGAGAACTGCCAATAGACGAATAATTACCTAAAACTCAAAACAAATGATGTGTCAGCAGGTTGGTCATCAATATTAGCCTTAATATTTTAAACCATGAGAAAAAGAGATTGGTCAACTCGAGAGCCTTTGTTGGTCGAAACTACAAATTTTACCCAAATTTACCAAATACCAATCTATAGACGAAGTGAGGACTAGTTTTAAGTCTTATTGTGGTAGAAAAAACAAATATATTGGCCCAAAAAAGAGACGATAAATTAAATCTTACATTCCTTGCTGTGGTCATCCCCGCCATCACCATCAACAACAAACGCCACCTTAACATCTTGCTGTTCTTCTCTCTTTACTGTTTTACTTATGAATTACGTTATGGTGATTGATGAAGACAGACGATATCACAGATTAAACTTGATGATAACACCCTCACTACGAGTCATCCGGATTCATGATGACAGCTTGACGGATTCTTAACTTGTTTCCGGATTTCTGACCACTTCGCCTTTCGCCTGATACGGATTCATCTGATCATAATTATAGGTAAACTTGTTCCCGATGCCATTTACAGACTACAGGCATCTAATGGTTAGTCCATTGCACTGTTGTCGTTATAAAGAAATAATAAAACATCCTTGCTCCGGTTTGGGACAAAGACTATAATAAGAAAGACAGGAAAACATCTACCTTTACCGATAAAAATAAGTGACCACTGCACTCTGATCTACGCCATCTGTTGACGACGCGGCTAACTAAAAGCCCGGAGCGCGTCAGGATAGCGTTTCCATGGTGACCAGAGGAGTAAGTTTGTGTTTAACGTTTTCACGTTGTTATATATCATTGATCATATAGAACTTACTGTGTGATATTGTATGTGTATGTGTCAGTATGTATGTATGTATGTATGTGTGTGTGTGTGTGTGTGTGTGTGTGGGGTTATGAGATATTGGTTCACACTCAGGATGGGATGGAGAAAGGAAACTCACAATGTGCTTACTGTATACATCTTGTATTGGATGTACAATGCAGCTTGTTGCTGGGTAGGTACCATGGTAACAAGCGTTGAGTAGAGAGAGCTGGTTGGTGAGGGTGCCCAGAGGAGGGACACAAGGCTTGAGGGACGCCAAGGTCGCTGGCGGGAGTGGCAGCCGCCAGGCTGGCGCAGAGGTGGTGGTGTTGCTTGCTGGTGGCACTGTGTAGAAAGAAGGTGGTCACAGCGGTGTCAGGCCTTATAAGGCGGGGGTAGACGTGGGTAGATAATTGAATCCAGGTAAAAAAGTCACAGGTAAAAAAGTCACAGGTAAAAAAGTCACAGGAAAAAAGAAAAGTTAACTATCGAATTCTCACATTTTTTAAGGTTAATATGTCAACCTAACCTAACCTAGCCTTTATTACCGGCCACCATAAATTAATTGTGATTTTTTTCCTAGCCAAAATTGTGACTTTTTTCTGTGACTTTTTTTCCTGTGACTTTATTACCGGCCACCAGATAGTTGACTCCCGCTCCATAGGCGGCGCTGGAGGCGTAGGCTGGGGAATTCGAGAAGGTTCGGTGCTTGTAGGGGAGGAATCCACTACATGTACACATTAAGAACGTCAAGGCAAAAACGTCAAGGTAATATTATTACCTTGACGTTCTTAATGTGTACACATGCACACACACATACATCCCCAACCGCCAATGTTGGTTCTGGCAGGTGCCGCGTATATGTCGAAACGCGTAAACGAGAACCGCGTAAAGCGGGGTATTACTGTACAATTCTTATTAATGATAACACAGGAAGGTTATCTGTTTATAAACAATAATTACATATTGCATGTTAAAAGGTGACAGACCACACTTGGAGAATACCGTATACTGTGTACATTAACAGTAAATTACCAAAAAGGCCTTGAACAATGATATGAAATACAGCAGCAGGAGCTGAACATGTTTGACAAGGCAGGAGGAAGGAATGGGACTAGTAGGAGCATTAAAATACTTGTGATTTTTTTTTTTTTTTTTGAGGTACACGACTTCAAGATGCAGGGATAAAAAGTTATTCTTATTATGAAGTAGGTTGTATCCATTTGCTTGGTCATGGCTTCATATTTAATTCCAAAATTTAGTAATGGCCGTCCTTTCAGTATGCGTGGTGATGGAAATGTCTGGAAATAATAATTCTCCAAAAAATAAGTAAATAAAATAAATAATAAAAAAAATATGAAAACCAATGAAATAGGCAGATGTATAAAACAAATTTTGTTTGGTTTAGACTGGCCAGCCTTGACTGGCTATGTGGGAATCTCTTCCATAGAGGCCCAAGGCCTTTATTACATAGCGGAGATCAATATTTTTTGTGGACGTTGTAGTATATTACCGATACAGTAAACCCTCGATAACTCGGCACTTCCCCCTCCTACAAAAATACAACAGTAAAAATATGTTGACCCAAATGTGCACATGAAATTATAAATGTTAAAAAACTTACCAGCACTGCAGGTGAAGAATGGTACGTGACACAGGCATGGTAGGCGAGAGTAAGTTAGGGGACAAAGAGGCATGGTTGGTGATGCCAAAATTTTCCCAAATAATCTGATATCTCGGCACTTCCAGAGTTACTGTATACTAATACATTCCGAGACCATATCCATGTTGAGTTATATGAAGTTCCAAGTTATTGAGGGTTTACTGTACCAATTAGTAAGCGGTGTATGCTATCATAGTATACTAATAACTGATGCACACACAGTATTTGTAGTTGGTATACACTACAGTACTAATACCAATAATATTCTATCAATGCAAATCTGACAAATTCAGTACAGTAATAGTTTTCAATGTTCAAGCCACCTGCTTCAATTCACATTAGGGTCAAAGATAAACACACATATTTTGCATTAATTTGTGCTTTTATTGATGTGTTAAAAAGAGAACTTCATAAACTGCAACATTAACATTCACAAGTTCATGTTACTATGCTGTGTCTTCTACATTAGGTATTTCTTTACATTAAGGCATTTAAAAATATTATTTTAAACAATGACAAAAATCAGGTTAACTTTACAAAACAAATATAACCAAACAGCTTTTATGAAGCAATATATTTTGTTTATTCAACACAAACCTTTACCTCTGAACTGTTATGATGTTAGATAATAGTGTTCTTTACAGATATAGTACAGTTATTAAGTAAAAATAACCATTAGCACATAAATACATCACTCTGCCTGCCACCACTTCAAAGCACCATCAAGCAGGCAGTTTTGACAAGAGTATAGATATTTGAGACTGGACTGATAATTTTTAAAATAGTACAGTATAATCTTTGCCAAATCCAAATAAGCCTAATGCTATCAGGCCATATACTGTGTGTGTGTGTGTGTGTGTGTGTGTGTGTGTATGCGTGTGTGTGTGTGTGTATGCGTGTGTGTGTGTGTAAACTGAAGTGCAGGTTTGTATTGAAATTTTTTTTTATTGAAATGAGTGGCACAGCTGCAGAGCATATGGAGGCAAGATAACACAAAAACCTCGAGACACGACATTTCTAAAATTATGAGTTGTTGACGAGAGGAGCATTCCTTGTAGATTTCTCAAATCAGGAAGCATGAAAAAAATGAAATTGATTAAAATAAATTTGAATC